TTTGTGCCATAATATGATAATCATAAATACTGATGGAGCATTTATACATTATTGAACTTAAAACACATAAAAATGTCATTCATTACACAAAGAGTTTGACATATTTTTAATCTCACATCTTGAAACCAATCACTACATTATTTTAATAGGTAAAGTAATTTCAACGTCTTTTCATGGAATTTAAACCAATCTTCAGGCACGACCTATTATATCATGCCAGGTGCTCTAACTGGTAGCTTACATTTTCTTGACTTTTAATTCTCAGAAGGGCCCTGAAAAGTATATGTTACTATCTCCTTTTCATCTATGTAGAAACTGAAGTTCAGAGCTATTTTAGTCAGGTTTTTCATTGCTGCAACTTAAAGGTGTGACCAGAACAATTTTAGAGGAGGAAAAGCTTATTTGGGGGCTCATGGTTTCAGAGGTCTCAATCCACAGACAGAAGGTTCCATTCCTCAGGGTAGAAGAGTGTGATAGAGGGAAGTGGCTCCTATGTTGATTAGGAAGCAGAGAGAAAGATATCTCCATTTGCCAGATACATATATATATATACCCCAAAGCCATGCCCCAATGTCCCACCTCCTCCAGCCACACCCTACCATTTCAGTTGCCACTCAATTAATCCCTATCAGGGGATTAATTCATTGATTGAGTTAAGACTCTCACAATCCAATCATTTCTCATCTGAACCTTCTTGTATTGTCTTACATTGAGCTTTTGGGGGACACCTTACACCCAAACAAGAGGCATGACATAGCCCCAGATGGCACAGAGAGTAAGATCTGATGCCACATTTTTGGTTCTCATATGCCACACAGTGTCCAAAGGGTTTGGATACATATGAAGTGGATAATAGGCTTTCTTTCTAGGCAGTCACACATGTACAGGGAAGATTCTAGGACATGAGCTGAAGACCACATCTCCCTCAAAGGTGCTGTGCTGGTACCATCCCAGCATGTGTTTGAATAAGCCATGCTCTACTCTGAGTCAAGATGCTCAGGACTGCTTTAGGGGACATACATTATGATGAACACTCGTGAATGGAACCATTGCACCACAGCCATGGCTTTGTTCCAAGTCACCACTAGGTATAAAAATCCAGAACCAAAAAGAAAGAAGGAAAAATACAAGTATTCCCTTTGAAGAATATATTTACTGTATATCTGATAGCACTTTAGTGAATGTTCAATGAATGGCAGGTTAAACATATGAATGACTCAACAGAGAAATGAATGACTCCTGTTCCTTGACCTGAAGTCAAATTATAGAAGAACATGATTTAATACAAGATGGATTCTATAATTTCCCTATATATAACCTTGCCTATAAGAAACATGTTTCTTTGATATGTACTTTAAAATTATCTAGAGTAAAGAGTATATCAGTTCAAATGCAAATTTAAAATTCACAACCATTCATTAGTAGGATTCTCATTTATTTTGAGGGTATGATCTTTAAAATAAATCATTGCTAATTAAAAAAGAGAAATATGTTTCTATATTATATATGATATTTAAGCTATGTTTTACAAATATATTCTCTCTGGGCTATAAAACTCCCTCTATACTCAGTCCTTAAAAATAAGTTGTACCTTTTTTTAATTAAAAAAAAATCCCTCTCAGTATGTTTGTTCCAAACCTTTCTAACTGACCTCCATGCATCAGGCAAAAAAGATTTCTTCCAGTATTCTCCGACCTTGGTGTGGCCTGAATGAAACCCTACCATCTCTGACCAACTTTCCCCTTCTCTCTAACCAGCTCCTTGTTGAGTTCACACATCTGTCCTGGCCTCTAGGGCCAATAAACATATCCTTCTACCATATCTTCCCATTGCCATCCTCCTGGTCAGAGCAGGCTCAGAGTTAATTTCATATCTGGCCTCACTTTTGCATCTGATAAGTTTTCCTCCTTTGAAATAGGGATTTACATACTGCCCAATATACAATTTCCAATGTAAATTGGAAAGAAATTTTTTCTTTATAGTAGGTAAGCTATATATATTCAGTTCTTGGGTTCTGGTTTGATAGTTAACAGGCTTAGGAATCAGAAAAAAAATTTTTAAAAACTATTCAAATCAAAAATTGCTATAGCACTCAGTTTTAACTTGTGCAAGTTCTTTCAACAGTCTGAAAAATAAGGATAAAAAGAATAATAAATAAATGAGATAAACTGTGTAAAACATACAGAACAATATTTGAAAATATAATGATAAATACATAGAAAATAAATAATGATCAGTAATTGGTGGGGGGGCAGGGGAGGTGGGACAGGAGAAAATAGTCAATAATCATAGCTGTGTTGGGAGACACAGATCATGGCCCTGAGGACATGAGATTAGAAGGAAGCAGAGAAAGGGAAGGCAGTGATAAAATTTACTAGAAATTCCATCTAAACAGGGCTCCAAGTCATGAAAGTTAGAATGGGTTCTTGGGAGCCCAGAATAACCTCAAAGTGGATACAACAGGGCTGGGGATGTGGCTCAAGCGGTAGCACACTCGCCTGGCATGCGTGCGGCCCGGGTTCGATCCTCAGCACCACATACAAACAAAGATGTTGTGTCCACCGAAAACTAAAAAAATAAATATTAAAAAATTTTCTCTCTTCTCCTCTCTCTTTAAAAAAAATTAAAAAAAATTTTTTTAAAAAGTGGATACAACATCACACGATATCATGCACTGAGCAACTTTATCTTAGATTAATTTAGCCATATTCATGGACTATGAAGTTCAGAGCCAGCTCATACTGCAGAACTGGGTTCTGTTTTTCTAGGCTACCTTTCTGCACACCCCTAATATTAATCTCTTTCCCAAAGAGCAGACATACCAGGAGCCAGAAAATAGCTTTTAATTAATGAATTTATCGTCTACAATTCACTGGTAATGAGGGAAATCCTGTACTGTACATTCTTTTAAGTGTAGATTCAGGATCTGGATATGAAGCTAGTGAGGTAAGCAATTCAGCCCTTTTCCTATGATTGTGAGCCAAGTAAATGGCTGGATTACTAATGGGTGTGTAGACTTTTTTTTAAGTGTGGTGGATGGGGGTGGGGAGGAGGAAAAGGGAGGGAGTCTTTTCTTGGCATAGGCCAAAATGAATGAAAATGCTTTGAGTGTTGTTATAATCTATTCTGTGGCGATTTCCAGGTGGCATTCTGCCATGGCTCGGGGCACACCCATATGGACTCAGTCCCTTTCTGTAAGGATATTGCAGTTTCTAGTAGGGTCCAAAGCAGAAAGATAGCTTTTCCCCACCCAGCATACCCTGACTCCTGCCAAATGTGAGACAAGGGAGTGATGTATCAACATAATAATACCAATACTGACCATGATGGGTTCTTAAGAAACTGGAAAACTTTACTAACAAGTTTCCTCCACCTTCTTTGCATACCAACCATGGTCCCTGAGTTCCTAGGCTTCTATACCTAATATAATACGTATTAGGGCTCTACAACCCTAACTTGCAGGTTGTTTCCCAAAATTTAAGTTGTAGAAGCAGACTTGAAAGCAGTCTACTACAGTTGGAAAGCTGCATCCTGCCCATCTCAGACATTACCTAGGAGTCCCCTCAAGACAGGGACATCCAGAGTCCTACAGACCACTTCCTGAGAAGCCCAAGCCATTGTGGGGCATCTACAGGGGCTGCGAGGGCATGTGATTTGGCAGAAAGAGTGTTGGACTTAGAGACATAGAATTGGTTTTGTTCTTGTTCTCCCACTAACCAGGTGAAGGATCTTGGGGAGCAGTCACTGGGACTCAAAGTAAGTTGCTTATATCATCTATGAGGCGGTTTGATATGATCTCTGTAGCGATCGTAACATCGTACTTCAAAATTGTTTTTCCTGTGTTTAATCAAAACTGGCCTCCCTGCTACTCCCTTCCATTAGCGTGAGCTCTGACTTTGAGAACTAGAGAAGATAAGTCTTTTCTCTCCTTGATGTGGCACCTCATCAGATATTTGAAGATGGCTCCAGTGAACCCATAAGTTATTCCTGCTTGAGGACAAACATCTCAGGAGATCATGAACCTTCCTTTTAGACTTGGCTTTCACACATTTCATTCTGACAAACTCAACTTCAGCTCATTCAATGGTGGTCCCTAGAACTGGACGTAGCACTCCAGACTGATCTAAGGAGCACAGGATGTATTGAGACTAAAATAACCACCCCAGCTCTGCCCTTAATCTAGACCCTGTGCTTAGACCAGACCTTCTCATGGTAAAGGCTGCATTTTCGAGTTCTTTTCTGCCACCATAGCCATCTTCTAGCACAGACCGTGTTTATGGTCAGGTCCTTTCTACATGAATTCCTCTTCAACCAATTCTCCCCTTGTCTAAATGCACCTTTTATAATGTCCCCCCTTTTAACATACAAGTAATGTATATTTTGTAGGTGTATAAAACAAACTTAGCAGGTCCAAGGCTGGTCTTTACCCTGGATCAACTTGTCTTTACAGCCTGACTTTCGACATTACCCAGAGGTATCCATACCCACCATGGCTCATACTTGCTTACTCCCTATAACCTCCCCTATTCATTCTTTTAGGAAAATCCTATTCATCCTTAAAGACATAGTTCAAGTGTTCCCTCCTCCATGAGGTTTTTCTGACATGTTTCTCCCTCTTCCCCTATCTATATCTCTGTTGATCTTTGATATTGCTCTTTTATAACTCGAGATTATAATTCATTGGATATACCTGCCTGAGATCAGATCCTACCCTGGGAACTACATTATTAACAGACAACTATTCTGTCCAAAGAGTAGTATCTAAAAACTGTCAAAAGGGGAAAAGCAGAGATAGCTACTCTACCTGTAGCAACTCCTCCTTTGAGGTTCACATGGATTACCCTGCACCTGGAACACTTTGCTCCAAGACATGGCAGATCAGGTATTGGAATAAAGATCAAGATTAAGAGGACAAGGAACAAAAGCATATTTCGTTTAGTAGTCTTGGGGCAGTGAGTTCCAAAACAGTTTCTTATAAACATTTATGCTAATGATTCATATGCCTACTCATATAGTCTTTATTAAAATCATCTTCATTGTGCATTGCAACATAGAGTCCATTTATTTCCGAAGAGCATCGACTAAGTTAATATAAAGATACATCAGGCCCAGGTAGCTCATTTGAATGGTATGTGTTTTGTTTGAGTGTGTTGGTGATTTTTCCAGCGAAGAACATCTATTTTAACCCAGCCAACTGTTAAAAAAGAGCTATTCTCCTTGCTTCTATAAATCAGATTTTCAAGCCCACTTAATCTCAGGAGAGGTGGCTGTGCACATGGCTGCCCTCAAGCATGAATCCAGAGACATCCGTTTAAACTGTCCTCACTGTGACATTGAAAAATTTGCTTTGTCTGCATAAACTCCCATTTTTAAGGAGAGGAAGAAGGATAGGGAGGTCCAGGCTCGGATCTCTCAGAGGACAGGATTCATAAGGTTAAGTCTGGGAACAGCCTGGTCTTTGATAGCCGAGCCGGACTGGTCTCAGAGCAGCTGCCCAGATGCACCAGGGGGCTGGTCTGACCCTTTTGAACTCCCCTGCCTGCTACAATTTTGGTCTCCACTCGATCATGGGTCCCAGGACAATTTCTGCTCCAGACTGTCTGAGGAGCTTAGGGAATGCTGAAAGGAAACCTTTTAAGTCTGCTTTTCTTGAGAATGCTAAACCTGCAAAACTTGGCCAGACATCGCGTTGGGTCTCCCTCTGTGGTGACTCAGAAATCTCAAGGAGAACAGGAAAATCTGGAGGAATAACATTGAGAGGGCCGAAGGGCAAAAAGGGATGAAATTTGTATTTCCATTGAGTGGGTAATATTTTTCATTTCAAAGCCTGATGTAAAATCTTGCTGGTTTTTAGTTATCTACAGACCGAGAACATAAACACTGCTATTAAAATATTTCATCTCTCCCAAATGAGGCCCTGCACAAATTTCCTTCTATGTGCAGAGCTTTCAGCAACATCCCTACGAAGCTCAGGCAGACATCCAAACTCGACTCTCGCTATATTTGAAGTGAAACAGCTCTATCTCTGCAGGAGACAGAGGGAGAGGTCAGGAGGAGGTCTGGGAAGGTCAAGGATGAGTGGGGAGAGAGGGAGAAGGAGGCTGGAAAGGCAAATATATTAGACTCTTGAACCAGTTGTTTAAAGCTGTACCCTTTCTGGTATAATCTTCAGGCTTGGTTACCCACAAGCTTCCTTAAAAGAATTTGGTGCAGTTTCAAATGTTTGTTTGCCAGTGAGAAGTCTGCATCCCTTCAGGCAGAGGCTCTGCCCTGTGCTTTATGTGCAGAGCTGGGCTCCAGAAGGCACCAATCAATACTCACTGAGCCGCACATACCAACAGCTCTCCAACACTGCCTGCTCACTTGACAGGTCCCTGCAGAGTGGGGCCTGCATCAGAAGCACAGTGTCGAGCAGCAGGGCTAATCCAATAAAAGTGAAGTACCAAGCCTGGTTTGTAACCTTTCTGGAAGAAGGATGTGTTGCTGGTTTTCATGAAGCACTCTGGTCTTCTCTACTTTTCTGCCTTCTTCCACGGGAGCAGATCTTTCTGCTTTTCAAAAGTCAGCCCTCAACGGAATGATTTTTTCCCAACTTTCCATGAACATCTCCACAGTTCTGCTGAAACCCATCTTCTAGATTTCAAATACAGCCAGAGCTTCAGGATCCAATTAACACGTTCCAAAGAATCAAAATGTAATCTCTGACATCCATGATGCAAATGGATACTCTTCCAAAGCTCTCAATGTTCTTACCTCAAAAAAAGAGATGGATTTTATTGCCCTTGAAATATGTAATTATCATATCCATTTGGCATGCGTTTGCACAAATCCCTAGACATAAGTACGTAAAATACAATAAAAACAAAATGTGTGAGCACCCCCTACCACAGAGGTATTCAAACAAATTCTCAAAGTATGACACATTAAGGACTGTATTTTAAAGGCAGAATTAGAACATGAACACACATGTACCCTCCTTGCCTGACTTCAAAAATTCATAGCATTGGGAGTGTGGAAGAGACTGCTCAGCTCAACAAGACTTGCTGCCATGTGACCCCATATATCCAGTTGTTGCTCAGTAACGTCTCCTCCCAGGAGAAGTAGAAGGCACCTATTCCGAATTCACACAAAACATCAGCTCACCTCATTGTCAAAGACTGACACCCTGCATTGACCCTCCTTTAAGCAGTGGGTGTGTGTAGTACAGTCTGGCTGCTCTAAGAGAGGTCGTTTCTAACTCTTGGGAGCCCCATATGAGAACATGTCTTAGGGCACAGTGGCACATGCCTGTAATTCCAGAGCCTTAGGAGGCTAAGGAAGGAGGATGGCTAGTTCAGAACCAGCCTCAGCAACTTAGGGAGATCCTAAGCAACTTAATAAGACCCTGTCTCAAAATAAAAAGTAAAAAGGGTTGGGGATGTGGCTTAGGGCTTAAGCACCCCTGGGTTCAATCTCCAGTACCAAAAAGAGAGCGAGGGAGGGAGGGAGGGAAGTGGGGGGGAGAGAGAGAGAGAAAGAGAGAGAGAGAGAGAGAGAACTCATCTTTACTTGCTCTCAGCCATCACCCCACAAATATGCCCAAACAGTGTTCTTTACTATCTGGTTCCCATCTTTACTTCTTTTTCCCATCTTCCCTGGGTTGTACCTTCAGTAACCTTTACCCATAGAGAAGGGTGACCCTGGATGTTTTAAAATTTCATTTGACAGCCAATGTAGAAACCCATTCCACATCTCCTAGAAGCTTAGAAAAGCAGTATGACGTTGTCACTTGTTCATCAAGAGAGGACCCCTGAAGTGATATAGGACATATGGGGGGGGGGCGGGATGTTTTTTGTCAATAGAAACTTATTTTTCCATTAATAATTATCCATTTTTCTGCTAGCAAAACTACCATCACAGGCATGCGCTGTCAGTTTGCCGTTAGTTGACACGCAACCTCTTCTACTGGACACAATAACAACTTGTGCCTAACATTCAACCCTCACAACAGCTCTAGGATTGGACAATTTTTATTCCCATTTTACAGATAAGGAAATGAGCACAGCAGGACATTTACTTAATTAAGGTTATAGAGAGAAGGTTATAAATGACAGAGCTGGGATTCGAACCCAGGTCATAGGGCTTCCCAGTCTAGAGCCTCCTGACACCACACTCCTCTGCCGGGTTAGCACCAGAGTGATTCTCCACAATGGCATTTGCCATTTTCTCCCTCTTTTGAGTTTTTCACGTGATCTTTGTTCTTACTGCCATCCTCCTTGTACACCTCTTACATTTTCAAGTCTCTCACTTGACAAGATGAGGTTGGCAATTACTAAACCTTCTCCATAAAAAGCACCAAGGGCAGTAGATTCTAAGACATAAGTGGCCTCGCCAACCCCTGTGGTCAACACAGAGCTTGGGACCTGAGCCCCAATCTTGTCTATAGAAGCTTTTAAGAAAAAGCTTACTACAAATAGAGGGGGTTGCTTCCTGTGGATGCTACATGCACGTTGTTCAAATAGCACACTCTCAGCATGTGCGTGTGGTCTTGGGTCAGCCTGCTGGACCCCAGCCGAGGCAGGATTCTTGGAAGCACGAAGCACGTATCCCATTCTTTGTATTTTCGGGGCTTAGTACTGGTAGGTGCTCAATAATTTATATTGAATGAATCAATAAAAGAACTCCTAAGAAGATCAATAAGTGTCAGGTCAAGAAAAGAAAGGAGGGCGAGTAGGGAAAAAAGAAGAGACAGAAGGAGAAAGGAAGGAGAGACTGTCTTATTCAGAGCTGGCTGCTCTTGCATGTGCTCCTTTGTGTGCGGTTGGCCACCAGTGGCCATAAAGTGAGTGACCCTAAATCCACATGGAATCTGAACACCTGAGCCTGCCCTTGTCGATCTGCATCCCAGGATCCCAAGAAACCCCCGAGGAAAACATACTCTCATAAAAGTTGGTGTCAAGAGCTTCTGGCAGGTTTTTATCATGGCCAGTCCTGGAAATAGTCTGCAATACAATCAGGTCTTTATAAAACTGTATTTCTCTTGTTAACTACTAAGATTCAAAGTTTCTAAGTTTAAAAATTTCATTGATAATAATGTGCAACGTATTTGTTGCATGGCAGGCATGATTTCTAAGTGCCATACAGATACTGTCTCATTTAATCCTCCCAGCACGTCACCTCACTGTCCCCAGGACAGCAAGGGGCAGAATGAGGCAGACCACCCACCAGTGACTTGTCTAAGTGACAGAATAAAACTCTGAACCCAGACTCCAGAGCTTACGCAGGAAACCATTCTCCTGTCCTGCCCTGTGACAGGTTTCATCCGGGATATGCCAAGACCTGCTGCTCTCTTTGTGACTTTGCCTTTCTTATTAATGCTCATGCCTTAGCCTCAATGGCATCTGCTGAGCTCCACCCTGCCTCCCTGCCCACCTCGCTGCCTGTTCTCCCATTGAGTCTGAAAGGTCACAGGTACACACCCAACTTTGAGATAGCATTTAGTTAGCTTCCCCTCTAACTTTTAGGAAGCGTTCCTTAAATGCTGCAGCCATTTTACAAGTCCATTTAACTTCACTTTCAATTTAACTTGGTATCATTTCAATTTCCTTTTCCTCAGCATTGTATCGCCCTGGGAATGAGAGTTGGAAATGTGCCTATCGTGAGCTGAGTCACATTTTTATGTGTCCCCTCCTCTTCAACCATTGTTTTCTTAAAGTTTTGTTTAAAAAAAAAACCACCTTGGTATTGTAAAAGGAAACACAAATGCAGAAACTCATATCAAACAAAGAATTCATTATATAGTTTGTATATATCACGAATTCCTACATAATGAATGGATATAAAGGAAGCAGCCTGTATCACCACCCAGCGTAAAGAATAGAGTTTTGCCACATGACCCAGAAAACCTGTGACCCATCCCAATTACAGGCCTTGTCACCCTCCAAGTTAGCATTGTTAGAATTTTTCTAACATTGTAATAAAATCCTTGTGAATTTTGAAAATTACAGATGGGTTTTTTTAAACATTTTCATGGTATAATTGACATAGAATCAACAGCAATTTGATGTTTTCACATATGTATTCAGTCTTGGAAACATCAACAGTCAAGACAGCAAATATATCCATTATCTCCGAGATTTCTTCCTACTTCTTTATAATCCCCTCCAATAGTATTCACTCCCATCATGTAACCATGATCTGCTTCCTATCACTGTATTTGTATTTACATCTCCTAGAGATTTATGTAAATGGAATCATACAATACTGTTTCTCATCTGACTTCTTTAACTCAGCATTTCTATAAAATTTGTTCATATCATGTTATCATATCATATTATTCCTTTTTATTGCTGAATAGTGTTCCATTTTATCCATTCAATTGTTGATATTTAGTTTTTCCAGTTTTTCATTATTACAAATAAAGCTGCTTGTGTACAAGTCTTTGGATGGTCTTATGCTTTTCTCTGAGTTGAAAGCATAAGAGTAGAATGGGTAGATTATGTGATATAAGCATGAGAGAAAATCTTTGCCAGTTTGGATTAGGCAAGAATTTCTTAATTATGATATCAAAAGCTTAATTCGTAGAAGTGAATAAATTTGACTTCAAAATTAAAAATGCTAACAATGCTAACTTGGAGGGTGACAAGGCCTGTAATTGGGATGGGTCACAGGTTTTCTGGGTCATGTGGCAAAATTCTATTCTTTACGCTGGGTGGTGATACAGGCTGCTTCCTTTATATCCATTCATTATGTAGGAATTCGTGATATATACAAACTATATAATGAATTCTTTGTTTGATATGGGTTTCTGCATTTGTGTTTCCTTTTACAATACCAAGTTTTTTTTTAAACAAAAATTTAAAAAAACAATGGTTGAAGAGGAGGGGACACATAAAAATGTGACTCAGCTCACGATAGGCACATTGTCACTGATGAGAAAATTAAAAGACAATCTATTTATACAAGGAGAAAATGTTCACAAAGCACATGTCTGATAAAGGGCTTCTATTTAGAATATAAAATAATATAATAAACTAAATAAGAAAACAACTAATCCAATTAAAAAGTGGACAACAGATATGAATAACAGTTCACTAAAGAAGATATACAGATGGCAAATAAACACATGAAAAGATGCTCAAATTAGTAGTCATTAGAAAAATTCATATTAAAACCATGATGAAATTTCACTGTATGTATATTAAAATACCTAAAATTAGGAAAAACCTATTCCCAAATGCTGGTTAAGATGTAGAAGAACCGGAACTCTTATATAATGATGGTGGGATAATGAAATGTTGTAATCATTTTGGAAAATGGTTTGATAGTTTCTTAAAAAGCTAAAAATGTGCCAGGTGCTGTGGCTCATACCTATAATCCCTGTGGCTTGGGAGGCTGAGACAGGAGTTCAAAGCCAGCCTCAGCAAAAGAAAGCCAAGCAACTCAATGAGATCCTAAATAAGTAAAATGCAAAATAGGGTTGGCGATGTGGCTCAGTGATTGAGTGCTCTGAGTCCAATCCCTGGTACCAAAATAATTTTTTAAAAAAAGCTAAAAATGTATGCTCTTATAAATGTTTTAAAAATCTGATCATTCACTGCTAGTATATAAAAATATAATTGGTGTGATATATATTGATCCTATAATCTACAATCTTACTACATTAATTTATCAATTCTAGTAGCTTTATTTTTTTATAGATTCCATTGGATTTTCTACTTGGACAATGGTGTTATTTGCAAATCAATGCAGATTTACTTCCCCTTTTGAAACTA